TACTATAGAGGCGAAAAGCAGGACTTCAGGTCCTACTTTAAAGCAAAACTTGAGAAGTAAAGGGAAGGCACCTTCTTCTCCAATTCTGGCTTCTGGAAAGTGAGCAGGAAGCGCTTGACATGATCCTTGCGCAACTGGTCAATGCTTCGCGCATCAATCGCTCGGGCCAGAAACTCATCTACCTCATCTTCAGGGTTCAAAGATTCCTGTGTGCTTCGGCTGCAGGAGAGAGAAGTCCTTGTTTTACAGTTACTGTAGAAGGAAGCACTGAGCAGCCCTAACACGGGCCCTTCCAATGAGCTGGGAAAAGTCATGTTTCTAGACTTCAGCGCTCAGCATGGTCACAGGGTGGGCGTTTCCAGGAGCTGAGAGCCATGAAATGACTTTTCAAAGTTTCTTACCTCCCAAGGGTGAGATAAAGGACAGATACTTACTTGTCCTTGCTGGAATCATCAATGCCCTAAAGAAGAAAAAAAGGAGAGAAGAGATGGTTTGCAAGTGTTTAGAGGAGATTAAAAAAAACTTTACATATACACCCTTGATATGCTGAACAAAATATGTACATGATTATATATTTTTGGTTGCCTTTGTATGCAATGATCGATACCTGCATTTTTTTTCAAAATTGTACTTTTTCCTTTACTCTTTTTTCCTTCTATATCCCCATCTCTTTTTCAGAAAATAAACAAATATTTTTAAAAAGTATGTACACTCTGTATAGCATATTTCACTCAGCTGTGCACATTTACTATGCTTATCCAAAATGCAGATGGCCTGTTTAGTGTGCAGTAGTACTAGTAATCCTACATGCTCCTGATGGAGATTCTAAGATTATGCGGTTATACTAATGAACATCATGATCAACCATTAAGTCTGTTGTTCACACTGACTGGTTCCTTTTTCCCACTGCTCCAGAAGTTCAAGCTACACACTTGGGGTGGTTAATACCCTAAACATGTGTGCCAGGAGTCACTATACATCAAACATTCACAGGAGAATACAGACAGGTGGAAACTTATTAAAGCAGGTGGCCAACATTTGTATGCTTTTGTTAAAGGATACCTTATCTGTTCCTTCTCCTATCATACAAGCACAAGGGTTTTGTGCTTCATCAAATCCCTTTCCCTGCTCAGAGCTGTGAGGAGAAATGAGATGTCTACCTTCCAGGATAGGTTATTTATTTATTTGACTACAAGGAGCTGCAGAGCCCTTCCCCAGCCTCACTGTTTCATCTCTGAACACACAGGGAAATGCAATAAATCTGTCTTGCCTGGCCTTTGGCCAGACAAGGTGTGCTGCTCATGGCCCTCTGCATGCCAGTATGGCTAAGATTTACAGCTGCCAACAAGGGAGATCTGCTGGCTGGTTAATGCTCAACTTCAGGGGTGTGGTAAAGAGGTGAGAAAGTGGCATAAGGAAAACTGGGAGAGACAACCACTGGAGACAACGGTAGTTACATTGTTAAGCTGCTTTCTATCTTAAGCAGATATCTGATTATCACCACTGTCCATCCCAGTTCAGGCACAAGTGTATTATTTACGATAAAATTATGATATTTATAATAATATTTATTTCCAACTCTTCCATCCCAAATGATTCTCAGATATCCTAACAAAACACAAACATGTGTGCACGTGCAAAACCCACAAACACCATCATGCTAATGAAACAGTCAAACAGCAGAACAAAACCCAACAGGCATTTCAGAAGAGTGCCAACAAGGTACAGTACTGTACCACATAGCAGAAGCCAGAGGAAAAACTGAGCAGACAGGTAAGAGGTGCCCCTCCACGGACCTTCTGCACCCAAAGTTCATTCAAATTTGCAAAACATTCACAGGTGCCGTACATTAAGATTACTGTGTGTCAGAGCAAATTTCTCTTTGATCTGCTTGGCAAAAGAATCACAGCAGGCCTCCCAGCGCTTCCTTAACATCTGATTACAGAACAGAAAACTATACTATCTAGCTATGGGATGGCATGACCGGGATGCCATGGTGGCAGAGACCCTTTGCTTCTTTTGCTGCCATCATTGCCAGGGAGTTGACTTGAGTTCTTTCTCAGGCTTGGATGGAGCCTTGACAAGAATTCCATGACCAGCATTCCACTCAGCTCAATAGACCAAGAAGCAAAAGGCATTTAGCAAGTAAAGACACAGGCGTGGACACCTAGGTGCATTCATTTCAACCATCTAAGTTATCTCCTTGTGTATGGAACGACCAAAATAGAATATCATCAAGAGCACCAGACATACCAATCAGAAATTTTTTACTGGGAGCTCTCAGGAATCCATCTGGATCCTTTGGCCTCCGGAACCAGATCATTCTAACACATCCCTAACCAACAGGATGGTGGAAAGTCTGTATCTCACTATAAAGAAACCTGACTGTGAAAATAGGAATTGTAGAAAAAGGAAACTTGGAAGTAAGTTCCTGCAGGCTAGAGTGATTCCAAATTTAAAAAAGCAAGGCTCTTTTTGAAATCTAAAGTGGAGGCCATCCGCTGGGAGCTCTCTCCTTTTTTGAACACACTGGGTCCAGCTGAGATGTCCAGCACTCTGTCTTCTCCGGTAACCCTTGACTCCTTTCAGCCTGTGACGCCTGACTCTGTGGACAAGGTGCTTGACCGCTGTCGAGCCACCACCTCCTCCCTGGACCCTTGCCCAGCCTGGCTAATCAAAGCAGCCAGGCCGATGACAACAGAATGGGCCACAGCAATAATAAATGGGTCTTTCCTTGAGGGCAGGCTTCCCACTGCCCTCAAGGAGACACTCATTAGGCCCATAAGAAAGAAACTTAGTTTGGCAGCGAACAAAACTGGCAATTGTAGGCCCGTCGCCAATGTTTCGTTCATGAGCAAAGTGGTCGAGAGGGTGGAGGCCGATCAGCTTCAGGCCCACTTGGAGGAAACAGATGTCCTGGATCCGTTTCAGTTGGGCTTCAGGCCGTGCCACGGTACAGAGACAGCATTGGTCGCCCTGTACGATGACCTGTTGAGGGAGGCCGACAGCGGCAAAATGTCTCTGTTGGTCCTCCTCGACATCTCGGCGGCCTTTGATACCGTCGACCA